CGAGATAAAAAGATAATATTTTGTATTAAAGTGATCTAAAACAACTATAGTTATAACGAATAATAAAAATGTGTTTTCTTTAGAAAGCCATTCACTTTAATTATACATTTAAAATTCTATAGTAAAAATTTGAAGCTATGAATGTCACACGTTATTTGTTTCTTCGTTTTTCGTGGTGGTGACCTTTCTGGTAAAATATTTATTTTATGAATTTTAACAATTAAAAATTAATTTTTTGTCATATTATATAAGATTATGTTAACAATCTCAATAGATCCCAAGAGTAATACCAGCTATAGCTTCAAAACTAATATAGAGTGAAAGACCGAAGACAAGCCTGCCAGAAATAGTGGGTATAAAGACCAATTGAAAAAAGATTGAATAACTATTTTCTTTTTACATATTATAAATTTTGAATGTTCAAAGACACAATATCGTGGAGCGTGGACTGACCGAGAGTCAAAAAATCAAGTCATTAATGTATAACTCGTCTGAAGACAACCATTTTCAGGTTACTTTTATTCATTTTATTCAGGTTCTGAAATATTGAAACTAGATATAGGTATACCTTAGTACTTTGACAACAATTTTGTATTTGTCATCTAGTCATCCAAGGAAACGGTATAATAATTGGCATGCAAATATGGCAATAAACATAAAATATGTACTTACAAATATTGGCTGCAAAAAAATAGTTACAATATGAAATTTATTGTTGTATTCCATGTGATTGACACTTCGGGTTTTCTCTATCGCTAATGAAAATGAAAAAATTCTGATGTGTGGATATTAAAAATATTGATTATGTGCATGTTTAAAGAAGGGGGTTAGTGGATGTCGCTCCGCTGTACATTAGGCGTCGGTGTTAGGTTGGTGTAATGGATTGTATTAAATTTGAATTAAATGATATCATATCATTGTTTACGAAAAACGACTCTGAGCGGAGACGATATGTCAGCCTAGGTTATTTTAAATTGTCATTACTTATTGTTCATATGGTAGTCGGTAAGTTTAATTAATATTATTCTTAAATTATCAGTGATGCTGGAAATAACATATGTAAAATTGGGCTGTTTTGGAACCGAATTACAACAAAATGATAAAAGTTATTCTATGTGTAAATAGGCAATCTTATCTCTCAAATCTGAACTTAAAATGTGTGTAAAAAATAACTGTATTCATATATTTTTTAGATTTTTTTTTTATTTACGAAAAAGACTGTTTAAGTAGGTATAGCTTTATTTTTAATTTCCAATCCTTAGCTATAAATATTGAAAAATGTATACATTTTTTATACAAAATAACCTTCAATTTTCAATTTTATAAATATTGTCAAAATTTGAACTTCAAACACTCATAACAATTTAATTTGACTTTCCGGTAGAACTTTTTTGCTAAATTTAGACAAGGTTGTCAGGAATCTTGTATTAAGGTTTTAAATCTTAGATATAAATAGAACAATTTTGATGAATTTCTAACGAAATATGAATTGATACTTTTCGTGATATTTACGAATTTTGTCAAGTTCTAGGTTTAAACGCTCATAAAAAACTATTGTGTATTTACTCTCATTTTTTTTTCATCGAACTCTCAGAGTGTTGATTTATAAATAGGTCTATAAATAAACACGATTATTTAAAACACAATATCTGTAATATGCATTTGACTACGACATTTCCAATGTTCAAAACAAAAAGTTGACCGATGATATTATTTTATTTTGTCCTATTCTATGTCAACCATATAATTATTATTTATTATAATTTTTGGACTATAATCTATAATATAATATAATCAAAAAAAAAGCCAAACAATTGTTGGTATTGCGATGTTTTTAATGTCATTTATATTATGATTTAATAAAAATAAAAAATACATTAACTTAAACGATTTCTTGTATAACATGGTGTTCGTCTTTTAGACGTAAAAATTATGCCCATTTTAAATACGGTAAGCGTCATCAACGATCAAATGTATAAAAAAAGGGTCGTCTCTAATACTTAAAAACTATAACCGTGTTAGACACGGCACTCGTCCTGAACGTAACAATAACTTAAAAAATAGTCGTCTTCAATGTGTTTATTTTCATATTATCTTGAAGAATCACATAGAATAATACCTATAATAAATTGAAATAAATTGAAACAAAAAAAAAATATAAATACGTACTGACATCATCTACAAAAATTAAATAATTATTAATAAAATATTAATAATAACTACCCAGCATTTTATATTGAGTGACTTTTAATACAATAAAAACCAAAAAAGTACCTTTTAATATCTCTAAATAAAAAAAAAAATTTTTATGTGTGTTTAATAAATAGGCTTAAAAACTATTAAACATACAGTTAAATAGTTTTAAAGTTTAAAGTTTTAAGTTTCTATTATCATCAATAAATGTACAAACTATTAAAAATAATATTTAGGTGTCAACACAATAACCATGTGCAATATACAATTATAAATATATATGATTATGATTTTATTGGGATTGAGATCAATAAACTATCACATGATAAAATTACATATTTATTTTTATAATAACAGTTTCTTAATAACAAAATGGTACTTATCATGTATTTAATCAATCAATATAGAAATATTCTAATGCTGTTTTATTAATATAATTAATTTTAATTCAATATAGATTTGAAACAGAACACTAAACTAAATATTGGCTACTCCTCTACAGTTACAGATTTGAAATTTTCACTGAATGGTTTACATTTTAAATTTTAACATGAAAAACTACTATTCGATGTCTTTTTTTCACCTCCTCATATCAGTCATATCATATTTATTCATTCACATTAACTCATTGTACTATTATTGCATAGTTTGTAAATTCTACAAATGAACAACATTTAAAAAAAAAAAACATGACAAAATACATTATGTAACATTTTTTTTGTTATTTTTAGATATTCAAAATGTTTGTCGACTTTAGTGTACAATTTCTGTGATCATAGTTAAAATAAATTGAACATGTAATACACGATTCCTCGATAGTTACAACTGCTATAAAGAATATCAAAAACAAATAGCTATAATTTTTTTTATGAACTATGTAAAAGTTCAAATTTGTATGAACTTCACAAAAATAACATCTATTTTTAATTTATATGACAGGTACAGACCGGAACCAAAAAATGTATGTAAATCTAACCTATTACGTATAAATAATAAATAAATAATATGTACCTTCATTCTCTGTAAATAATGTTTCATAAATTAATAACTATGTACATAAATATATGTTTGAATATATCTTATGCGGTTGAATTGAAACTGAAATAAATCCCACTTTTTCCTTATTAAAATTGTTTTTATCAATACATTTATAGCAATTTTGATCTCTTAATATAGACGTTTTGGTCGAATTGGAATTATTATTATAAGATTCCGTAGATATCGTGATGTCTTAGAGTTATCCATCCGATTTCGAGATTCGAAAAGTATAATTCCAGCTATTGCTACAAAATCAATGCGGACTGAAATATTAGGTACAACTATTAAATGAAAAAATATTGAACGACCCTTTTCTTTTTCCATATATTAAATTTTGAATTTTAAACTCAACAATATTGTTTGCTGACAAAATTAAGTTATGAACTATATTTCTGAAGATGAATTGAATATAGTGATAGTAAAATGGCATGACTGTAGATATTAGGTTAGGTTCAAATTCAGTTAGGTATTTAATAGAGACCCACGTAATTATAGAATTTCAAATAAATACTTTCAATTACTTTATAAATACATTTTTTTTACATAATATCTAAACAGAACTGATTTTCATGTGTTACGTCAATTTTATAGGATATTTTACAACTATCATTTGGAGTAACTATCAAAATATACACATCTAATATTTTTGTAGAACTTTTACTATTTTTGGTTGAATGTATTTGCAGAAAAAAATTTTAAAGGAACAAATATGTAATTCATTTTATTTTTGTACTTAAATAAAATTTAAACTTAAGTGAAACAAGTATAAAATAAACGAAAAACGATTTGAAAATCAGTAATAGTTTTAATTAAAGATACGTTAAGCTAAAGTATTTAAAATACTTTGTTCAAATACTTTTCAATAAATATTAAAAATACGAATTTTAACACTTAAAAATTATTTGAATACTTTTACTCTAGTACTTTTGCTCGCGTACTTTATCAGAATGAATAGAACTAAGTACCTACACAACGATTTTCGATTTGTCACCTAGTCATTCGAGAAGAAGGGAAAGTAAAAATATGGCAACTAACATAAAATATACTTACGTATATCATCTGCACAAAAATGTATAATATACCAAAGTTATTAATAATACAATATTATATACAATATGAAATTTACAGTTTTAACTTGTATTCAATGTTTTTAATTGAAACTTGGCCTTTTTTACAATCAACTTCTCCTACATAAATTGAAGCTACGTGTATTGTATTGTTGTATAATGTACAAGATAATTAAAATTATAAAATAATCTTGAAATCTCATACTGAATAATAAAATACATCGTAATAAAATAAAATAAGACAGGAAATAAAAATACGTACGGGTAATCTCTACAATACGTATAATAATAATTATTAAGTTATTAATAATAACTACACATATAAAACTAAATTTGACATATTCAATAGTTGGACCTTAATTGTAAAATTGAATGATAAACAACTTTTTATAGGTATGCTTTAAACAAATTCAAATCATAGACTTAAGTTAGACATGCATTGTTAGTCATTATAATAGGTTATTTACCACATACATTTTACCAACCCGCAACCATATGTTTCGTTGTTAAAAATTATTAATATAATACTACTAAACATACTGCTAATAATAAATATTTATTTCATTATCATCATATCCAAATATCCAACTATGTAATCTCAAAAGTTCGCTTTTAAGATCATAAAAGTTATAATTATGTCTAATATGGTTTTAAAAATTAACCGACTGTAATAAAATGAATTGTTTGTTAATTAAAACTTACCGTTTAATCCTGAAGCCAAACCATGAAGATCTGATAAATTTTAAAAATATTCAAACAAATTAATATAGAACATTGCTGAGGAGGTTTCATAAATAAATTATTATTTGAACTGTTATTTGTAATCCAACCATGGCCACTACATCTTACTTAACATTACATATGTACGTTTTAGTATATTTCCCTAATACCTATAATAATTTATAAATTCGACAAGTCGACCATAAAATGGATATAACGTCAATTAAATAATGATTCAGAATTCATAGTTTTGGGAAACTGTCAATAATTGGAATAATAGTCATTAACATCAACCATACTTTATAGATACACAACATACATTTTAATTTAATTTTTTTTCAAATACTTTTTATTTTATTTTTATAACCTATAATTAATTAAAAATATTACTTTGACAGATATCTGAAAAAAAATCATTTTTTTTTAGTCTGAAATCTTGTCTATTTACTACAAATAAGGTAAACTATAAGAAAAATATAATATCATCATTCATCATATATATTATAATTTATGGTTCAATTATAACAACAATACATCTAGATTATAATATAAACTAAAATAATTAAAAATAATCTTTACATTTTAAAAGTAATTCATCTTCAGTAGAAGTTGCAGGGATAATCCAAACTGAAATTACTAGTAATGTAAGCGTTATTAAATATTGCTGAATAAAACTCATTTTGATTCAATATAAGAAAACAATAGAAAATAATAATGTGAACGTTGAACAATAAATGAAATAAAAAATTGATAATCGATTTCTTTTATAAGCGAAGTATTCACAACCACACTCCGTCAGTGCAACATGAATCATATTTTTTTCAATAAGGTGTTTATTTACTGACAACTAATATAATATAACAAGAGAATATATATATATATATTATATTCTCTTATTGTCGCTGAATACCATTTTAATTATTATTTTTTAATATTTAAGTAAATAGTGTGTATTTAACATTAGATATAATAGATGCCACGATAGCTTGAAGCCGACACGAACATATGTAGCTATAATTATATTAATGCACACACTTTTGCATAGGTGTACACCGTGGTGGAGTGGAGCGTATTCGTTTGTATACGGTGTATACCCATCACTCCTGTACTTTTCCGTAAGTGCAAAATATACTTATAGAATAACACATGATACACTGAAATGAGAATTCATTTATTCTATAAAATTTAATAAGAAATTTTTAATTAATAAATTCAAATTTGAAACAAGCCAACTTATCGATTTTATGGTTTCTATGAACTAAATAGTTTTTTTTTGTTGCATCAGTATTCACAATATTTTAGTATGTACAACAGTACAACTTGACTATAGGAATCTAGAAAAAAAATGGCTTGAAATAAAAATAAGTAAAAAAAAAATCTAAGGCAATTGGAAAAATAGCCTCTGACCTGAGTCTTACCAACAAGCACTAATAATTATCAAAAATGACTCTGCTCTAAATATTCCAAATTTCCAACTGTTCTACGCAGTATCAGAATTATTATTGGTATTATTTATTATTTAACAATTACCTACACTATGGAACACTATTTTCGAGATAATGTATGGTCGTTCCTTAAATAAGTTAAATAATATTATATAACCATGTTATAAAAAAAAGTACCAATAGGAGACTAATATAGATAGAGCCGTGACACTTCAATCTACTCATCTAATAACTTTAAAAATGTATAACCAGTAGCCACACTCGTTAAAATTTCAATTTTTGAGAATAAAATAAGTACACCGAAAAATATTTGATTTTCAGGAATTGAAATAAGTAATGTTCATAATAAGTTGATTTTTAAGTTTTCAAAATAAATTTAATACAATTTGCTATTCGTTGGTAAACCTCATACAGGTACATTATTGGTTTTTTTATCACCTGAATTAATATTAGTATGTAAATGTATTGCTGCAGAAGCACAAGACATTTTAAACAGATGTATAATAATCGGCTGCAACTAGTTGGCCCACATTTTTAAATTTCTCAACAATAACCTGGTATTTCTAGCACAAATTATTGTACAAGGAACCTCTCGATCACACACAAAAAAAATTAAATGCCTAACACCGATAGACATCCAATGGGATAACCTGATTTTTCTACTCGTGCCATTTATTTTAGCACGAAAACAATGGAGTTATTCTAATCCAATTAATTGTAAAAGCCTGAGTTAACAGGCTCAAGACATTTTGAATAGATGTACAATCGCTATGATACGGGTCATAAGCGACTATTATATATAACAAAATCGATTTTGTTTTCGATATATCATAAAATTGAAGAAACATAGATTCAGGTCCTTCAGCCTGTCACCCCGAGCTTAAAATGTCGGAGTCAACCTGTAATAAAACTACATCTTCTCAAAAAAAAATAAAAATTGAGAACATTAGATGGTCTGTGCTATAGAATAGTGTTAAAACATTTCTTGGGATGCTACATTTTTTTACAAATTAAATTTAATAATTAAATTTTTGTTGATTTACGTTTTAATAATAATTTACTTTAGATGTTTGTAAAATTCTACAATCTATCTATAATCTATATCTATCTATGTATATAAAAATAAATCCCTATCTCCCTTAGTCGAGGCATCACGCTTATCACTTATCATTTAAAGCAGATCCATCTATCTTTCACCTATGATATAAAACATTTAATTTATACTTTCTTAGTGCTCATTTCACAATGAAATCAATCGGAAGATTAATGAAAAATTGTATAGCGAGTTTTTTGATAAGTGTTTGTTCATCATGGTTAGTTTATGCAATCACGCTTAAAATGTTAAACTAACTTAAGTCACTCGCGGGCTGCCGTGCCATAAAGCATGTGTAATGTGTATGGTATACAATTTGCACATTTATCTTAATTAATAACTTTATAACATTTTAAAATGTTTTTGGTGACATTGGTTAATCTGGCAGATCAGGTTTCAGCATCCATCAAATCAAATTTTATTATATTGCCACCATGGTGGCTGTCAGCTGAGTTACACTTATAGATGCTCATCGGCATGTACACGATCGAAATAATTAATAAAATACAAATTAAACATATTATTCATATATAGAGTGTGCACCTAGCGGGGTCCACAATCCACCACAGGTGGATAGCCTACTTAATAATATACTGCTCACATTATCACAAGCGAGTCTCATATAGTGTCGGTATTTTTAAAAGGCAACATAGGGCATATTATATAAGGCAAGTAGTATTAATTGTAAATACAATTTATTTATATTTAATAGACTATAATAGCCATAAGGTGTATCCACCGATAAACATATAGTACACTATTTGAGATACTTCTTTATTTCACGTTTTCACAAGTTATAATTAGGTATTTAAGTAAATCATCAATTAGATATTTTTAGTCTTGGTCATATAATCAAAACGTAAGTTTTTTTTAAAAACTTAAATCGATGCATTTGTAATAACATTTAATAGAGTCCCTAATATTTATCTGGCAAAATGAATTGCTTATTGAAGTATAAAATAAAGAAAATCCTAAAAAATTTTCTTTTTTGCTTTTTGATGATAGTTTTATAAATCTTTTGGTTTCTCAAACTAACATTTATGCAGAAACTGAGTTTTTACGTGTTGGTAGCGCACCGACTTCACGTATATTACAGTGGAAACTAACAAATAAATATTAAATGTTAACTTTTAATAAAAATTGCTTTAATAATTCATACTGGTACAATAAGAGTGAACAGGTTGAATGACTACTGGAAAAAACACCACCTCTTCAACTTCACTTGTTTTTTGGACTCTATGAGTCGTGATAGATTTTTGATTTTAATGAGATGTTTTCATTTTGCTCCGAGTATGGACGCTAACCAAGATCAACCTCAGGATCATTTGTATAAAATCAGACCTTTAATTAATCATTTTAATAAAAAATGAATAATATATATTATCCAAAGAAAGAGCTTTCTCTTGATGAATCTATGGTGTTGTGGAGGGGGCGTCTTAAATTTCGGCAATTTATTCAAAATAAGTGGCATAAATATGGAGTTAAATTATACATGCACACAGAACCTCAAGGACTGATTTTAAAATTTGCCGTTTATACAATAGCATTAGATGAAATAGGAGGAAAAGGCCATGCTACTAATGTTGTGTTACATTTAATGTCTGAAAAGTTTAACAACGGTCACGCACTGTACATGGATAACTTTTGTAATAGTTTTGATTTAGCTACAAAATTACTAGAGAAAAAAACTTTTTGTACTGATACTTTGAAAACAGATGGAAAAAATACTCCTCTGTGTGTACAAAGAAAAAAACTAAACAAAGGTGAAACCGTTGAAAAGTATGCTGAAAGTGTAATGATTGGAAAATGGAGAGATAAAAGAGATGTTACTTATATATCCACTGAATTTAAACGACGAACCATTTGAAAAAATGGTAGAGCTAATTGAAAAGGATGTCAATTATGTTATTTAGCTAAAATACGAAAAGACACTTCATACTTCTGTTCCAACTGTCCAAAGCAGCCCAGTCTATGTCTAGAACTATGCTTCAGAAAATGTCACGATTCAAATCGGTTGTAATACTTTCATTTTATTGCTATACTAGAGATACTTGAGATACTAGGAGCCCAGAAAGAAGGACCGTCGCTCACTACGCACGAACGATCATACGACCGCCGAGCAAGCGAACTCTCTTTCTCTATTGCCTACGAGCTTCTTTAAAACTCGCCGATGCGATGCACCCGTGACACTCACTGTCCCTACCTTTTGTAATTAATTACCCATGTAAAATATGACGAGACGTGATACTAGTAAACCAACGTCTTCTTTATACGAGGCCACCAGTCCACAGTGACTGTGCAGTTTCAAATAATTACTTATGATTTATGATTGGCATTAAAAATGATACCCAAGTCACACATTACACCAGAAAAATGTTACGATTTTATGCCTATATCAATAATCTAACCTTTTAGTGATACACAACTATATAATTCGATATAGGTGCTACCTATACTGTAATATTACACTACCTATGTTGAAAATGTGTACATAAAAAAAAATATTGAACAAATAATATTTGTTAGCTAGTCGAAAAAGCTTATTCTCAAACAAAAAATGTTATCTATAAACATATATTAGATCGTCCCCTATTCACTCATTAACGCCCAGACCAAACAGCTAGGTCTAGAGACTTGATACTTTGAACAGAGATTTCTTAAGCAATTTGGGGTCGCGCTAAGAAAGAATATTTCAAAATTTGACGTCTAAAAGAGATAAAAGGGGGATTTTTTTTATAGCTATAATATTATTATGTGTGTTGTAATCACGGGTTGCCAATTACCTGCGACTGGTTTTATAAATGCCGATTATACAGGGTGTTTCTGAAGTGTGTGAGGTAATTAGTATACTCATACTCTCTGTGATGCCACAATGAAGATTTTTTTGGAATTTTTTTTCTAACTTCAAAATCTGGGTTTTTTAAATTTATTTTTAGAATATTATCTTGAATGTAAAAATAAACAATCTAGTCGTATTTTTTGCAAAATTTTCATACGAATCAAGATATCGCATCATTTTTGGGCTTGTCATGCGTTTTTCGCGCTCGAATCGCCAACTAAAAAAAAAGTCGTGCGACACTTCGATTTGTATGAGAATACTGCAAGATAACCAGTGGTGATAATTATTTGTTGTCATTGATAATACACGATTAATTAACACATTGTTTTACATTGTCGA